AGGGTCTTGCTCTGATATGTAACATCGGGTTGGGTTCTTTGAGTGAAACTATATATCAGTGGGTTATTTTACTTATTTTTCTCTTTCGAGGAAACCTTGACTTTATGCTTTGAGTTCCGCTGTTTATGATGTTTTGATATATTTTGGGGAAAACCCGTAGTTACGGAGTATGAACCTATTTTGATGACACTGAGAGATGTACGCCCTTTTGGTGGCTTTTTAATGAGATTTATTTATTTACTCTGAAATTCGTGTTATTTTGCCTTAATAATCGTGGGGTAGAAAAGGGTGTTACAGTTATACTATTGTACCATCTTTTGTCTTCTAGCGCCCCTTGATCTTATCCACTTGATTCAAATGAATTTCCTTCCGTACAAAGCAAAGATTCCCTCCAATACATAGATCATTCCATGTTTTCGTAAGGAACCCAGCTCCTTTCTCCAATTTTCTTCTTTAGCTTAGTTCATCTCTTTACTTTAGTTTACACTCCCAGGTGTTGTCCACTACAATCTTGCCTTAACTCGACAGAGTTAACCTTAAATCAAGCAACAAATACATTAAAGTAACCAAAAAGTCACATATTCTACCCCAAGCTAATTACTATAAAACAACTCAAATGAACTAAAAGTAACAACATAAGAAGCAATAAAACTAGCAATAAGGAAATACTAAGGTATGTAATGACTCATAAAATGTAGGTTATCACACCTCCAAACTTGAATCATTACCTGCCCTCAGGTGATGCGATAGATAACGACAGAGAAACTTCCCTTCCAAACAACCATCTTTTCAAGTAGCACAAACTCGCCATCAACCCTGAAATCATCTCAAAGGACTATTTTAAATTATTGGTACAACTCGGGCCTGAAGCTAAATCATTAGCGTGTATGTGCCCTCTGTGTATTACTGATGATACCGATCAAGCCAGTACTCTTCAGTCAAGATAACTAGCATAAATTTAAATTTGGTTGTCTTATTCTATCACCTAAGATTTCAATTTTTAGTTTCAAGAGGGGGCTTTAACTGTTTTCTATTCTCAAACCTTTGTACTTAGGAACACACATGCATTTTATTGATAAGCTATGTAAATGCTTACCTTTTTCCCTGACGGGATCTCACTTATAATGAGTCCAACCTAATACTAATTGCGAAGACATCTATTGTTCCTCCAGTTTTTGGGACATGGACTTGTTACAAAGACTTGTTCGTCTAATTTCGGGCACATGAACTTATTCAAGAAGTGCCCTTTGGCTTACTTCAACTACACAATTTGGTATGTTTATTTGCATATGCAATGTGTCTAATGTACTATATCCTAAACAACGGTACTATCATCCCCTAACTAAATCCTACAGTGAACTTCATTTTCATACTTTAAAACAATTCAAATTTATCAAAAGGCTATCTACTTTTTTGACTGCTAAAGAAGCAATTGAGGTTATCAGAAACACAAGAAGATGCATTTGATTAGCAATCAAAACCTTGTTTTCAACATTGTCACAATCCTAATAGATTTTTTCTAAGTCTCCTAAAGTTGTTTGTCTAATTAATTTAAAGGCTTTCTAATTGATTAGGAAAAGAGGTTTCTCTTTAATCAATTAGAAGAAGTTTCATACAATTTTAACAATGAGTTTAACTTTTCTAATTTATCATAATTTCTTCTTAATTGGTTGAGTACTTTAAATGATTAACTTTAAATACTGTTGAGAAAAAGATGAATATTTTCAAATGGTTTTATCGTATGTGTGCATCACCTTAGTAGTGCAAGACTTACTCTTGCTTAATATTGATCTTAGTAGTGCAAGATAAAATATATTAAACTTTTGATATATATATCCGTCTATTTGACTTCCAAACCCGGAGCGGTTAGAATATGTGTATTAGTTTAATAACATCTATGGGAGAATTGCAGCAAAAACATTGCTAGCTGACCTTAGAATAAATGGGTCTGCCTGCAATCTGGAACCATGAAAAGTAATCAACCAGCCGCAAAGTTGTGTAGACGTTTCTATATCATCTACATTATTATTCAAAGGATGATGATGAAGGCTGTCACATATAGACTCATTCTACATACACGTTCTCCCTCTGTATACTGTTTGATCCAGCCCTTTGGTTCTGACCCAGCAAAATAATTTCAAAACAAGTCTGCATTAAACCAAAAGTTGAAGAAATTAAAACGGTGGTTTCATCGCCACCGGTATGCGGTAGGTTGGGTAGTATAAATACTTATGTTTCGGTATCTTTGTTTTTCATCTCAAAGTTCTCTTGTTTATTGCTTATATACCTTCAAAGTAAAAAATAAAAGTCACTGTTTATAGCATTTGATTGTGTTGGTTGATTATACATTTAAGACATATGGCGCTTGGTTTTAAGTATCAAATTAGCGTTGTTTGTGTTATACTGTTGTTTCCAGTACTATGTAACTGCAACAAAGAATATTATGCCAAATCAAGAGCATCCTATTATGGCACCTCTGACGGCTATGGAAATTCAAGTATGTATAATGAATGTGATTGACATCCTCCATTTCTATACTTCTAGCTAGATATGATTAATTAACTCATATATATGATTTAGGGGGAGCTTGTGGTTTCGGAGACTATGGAAAGATAGTGAATGATGGCAGTGTCGCAGCAGTTTCTGCCAAGTTGTGGAAAAATGGAGGAGGATGTGGTGCATGTTATCAAGTATACTTTTTCTAGCTTTTCCTTCATTTTCAGTATGTATATATAGTTGTTTACATGATATTAATTAATGATCACGAATGTTGATTTAGGTGAGGTGCAAAATAGCACAATATTGTGATGATAATGGAGCATATGTGGTGGTGACAGACTATGGTGAGGGAGATAGGACTGATTTCATATTGAGTCCACGTGCCTTTTCAAGATTGGGGCGCAATGCAGTTGCGTCCCAAAAATTAAAGAAATATGGAGTATTGGATGTTGAATACAAAAGGGTTCCTTGTACATTTAAAGGCAACAATATCGTATACCAAATCAATGAAAACAGTAGAAACCCAGGCTATTTCGCTATCAATATTCTTTATGTTGGAGGAACATACGATGTCAACGCTGTTAAGATCTGGCAGGTATGATATATACTTATATTTAACATTTGGTCCTATGAGACATGAATTAAACTTCTACTAATCAATTATGCAGAAACAACAACATCAATGGGAGGCCATGCGTAGATCTTATGGCGCCGTATTTGAGTTTGCTAACCCGGCTGAAGGTGAAATCCGATTGAGGTTTCAAGTGAGTAGCAATGCTGGATCCAGTTGGGTGCGCTTCATAGTACCTGCCAGTTGGAAGGCTGGTGCTACTTATTCCACCAAGATTCAGCCTTAAACTGTTTGTACACAAAGAAAAGCAGTTTAGAATGCCATACATAAACGGTTTCTTGTTGTTGCTGCTGCTTTTCAAAATATAATGGATTTCTGTAACTTGACTCCATCTCATACTAAATAATATTGGAGTATCAATCAATCAAATTAAATAAATTGTTGTAGTACATTTGTAGTACTCTATTAATTACTTTATATTTTAACTTCGCTATTAAACACATCTATAATGGATTTCTGTAACAAATGTAGTGGTGTGTCTAGATATTTATTTCATAGAGTTTGAGTTGTTTTGGTAAAGTGGTATTTAAGTCATTGAAGGTGAATATATTGACTCATTAAGATGATTTATATGGATATAATCGGTTAATAACTAGTTTATAATCATTTTATAAAAATAAAAATCGGTTATGACAATTGATTTTAATAACCGGTTATAACATATAGATTATTTATGGTTATGGATACTATGCCAAAAAGACCTTTAGCAACGCTTTTAAAGGCAGCGTTTTTTTTATGAAAAAAGCTGCTATAGACTCACTTTTATGGACAAAGTGCTTATAACAATTACATTCACCTGCTTATAATTAAGACTTTTAATTCAACACTTTGGCATTATATATACATTGTAATTCAACACTTTGGCCATAATTATTGTAATTCACATAAACCTGCTTATATATAATTCAACACATGGCCGATTCTCAGAACAACTTCACAAATACAGTCAATTTACATATAATTGCAAAATCGATCTTTACAAATGCATTCACTACACATATAACACCAAAACTACATACGACTTCCATAAATATTCACATAAACCTGCTTGATGCATTATGGTCATGTGGGTTGAGGTTTAGAGCTAGTTTTGCCTTCCAAATGCGTTGTTGGGATTCTGAGTTTCGCTTGAGTTGCTGGAAGAGCTTTGGCGAGTCTGTGGCAACTTGTTTTCTGCTAGCGTCATCGGACGAGGTTTGGCAAACAGAAAGCGAGCTACCTCGCTACCTGCTCGCCAGACGACCATGCATGATGCAAATTCAGTTATGTCTGGGTCTTGCCTAGGGTTCATCGGGTGAACCAAAGACGAGCCAACCTCACTGGCTGCTCGTCGAGCGACCATGACAGTATGCATAATTTGTCTTTCTTATTTTTCCCATAACTTGAGAACCGTAATTTGGATTGAGGCAAGAATGAAAGCGTTGGAAAGTCATTCCATATCTGTTTGGTATAACACTGTTTTTAACAATGGATTTTTGAAATGGAATGTTAGATGCGGTCCACATTTCCGCTGTTAAAATATTATTGACGGTTTGATCCACGGTTTAAAAATACTCTCTCCGTTTTTTTTAAGTATCACTTTCTTAATTTTTTTTTATTTCTTTTTAATTGTCATTGTCAAAATTATCCCTATTTATTTTTTAAAAAGAAGAAGAAAAAAATATAATAGATAATTAAAATATTATAGATAAAATGTGAATTATTGTTTAAAAAATAACAATATTGATTAAAAATAAACATAATTAAAAAAGAATAACATTTAAAAAAAGAAAGGAGCAATAGAGTTCCCAAAAATCCTGTAAAAGGGACAGTAGGGGGTTTTATGTCAGTAAGAAGAGGAAGTTTTGAATGATGGGAAGAAGAAGAAACAATGGAAGATAGTATCAACATGCAGAACGAAGACTCATTCGCCTTTATTTCAGAAATCTCTCGTGTATCCACTTCTCAGGAACACCTCTTGCAACACACACCCTTCGCCGGAGACACTCGCACCTCACAAGATACGCCATCCCAGTTTGAACCCGAAATTCCAATCTCCTCCGCCCCCATTGTCTTTCTCTCTCCTCCCGATACCCAAGAAGTTTTCCACACTCCACCCGAGGAGTATTCGCTTCCTTCTTCCGACGTTGATGTTCCTTACTGTCCGGTTAATCAGGTCATTGATGTTGATTCTTGCTCCCAGGTGTTCGTTGATTCGGAGTTTGTGGATTTTGGAAAGGATTCCGAATTAGGGTTTTTGGATGTTCGGTTGAAGAATGAAACGGATGCTGATTTTGTCCCGGAGAGCTCACACGGTGTTGAGCGTGATGAACATTCTGATGAATTTAGGGTTTCCGAAAGGGGAATTTCTGATTTGGGTGTGTCGCCGGTGAAAAAATCGAAATTAGATTTTGATTCCTTGGGGAATAGTTTGGGAGCTCAACCTTCACAGAGTGTTGTAGATGATGGGATGATAAATTCTGAGGAAAAGGTGGAAAGTCCCTGCAATGTTGTGGGTGGTGAAAAAGTGAATGTTGTGAACAATGATGACTTTTGCAGGGAAATTCCAATGGACGATAACTCTGTCCCAGAGGAAAATGTTGAAACTCAAGCTGTTCAAAATGCTGAGGATGTCAACTTGGTTGAGGGGAACAGGGCAAGCGGTGAGATTGGAGAAGGTTCTGGAACATGCGAGGATACGGTGTTGCGTGTGCTGCCAAACTCAATTCGTTGTCTTTTGGAGAAATCAACTGCAACTGCAAATGGTTTGGAATCTAAGAAGGTTGAGGAGAAAAACAACTTTTCTGTTTTTGGTGTGTTGAAAATTCTCTCTGAGAACGGTGTTGAAGAAGAAGATGATGGGCTTACTGTGTTGGAAGCTGCAAAGCGCTCTGGTATTACTTTTCCTCGTCCAATATGGTGGCCGGACCATATGAAATCTGAATTATTCAACTTTGATGATCAGGTTTAAGAGTAGTGGAAATGAAACTCTTTTTTGAGTAAATTTTTGTTTGTTTGAGTAGATTGATGGTGCTTTCATGTAGGATTCTCAATATTATATATGGTGCTTGTACTTGAAATTGTGTTTTTATGTTAAAAGTGATGTGGTATTGTTTGTATATGATAGGATTCTAGTTCTAATTTCTCTAAGTTTGTAACTGTGGTTCTGAACTTGAGTTTGGGGTATAATAACCCAACCCAGACAATTACAACAAGTTCAATATTACAACACTAACACCAACAGATAATGATTAGTCAATAATTGATCCTATTATAAAAAATCTTTCGGATATTTGAACCATTCAAAAATAGAGGTAAGTGAACTAAGAGCCAACCACCACCAAGAAACATATTGGATTCGATGGAAAATATTAGTGGAATTTGTTATTCCATTATTGAAGATCACTTGGTTCCTTGACTATCAAATACTTCAAGTTGTAGCCAACCAAAGCATGCATGCATCCGATTTCTCACTAAACTGATTTGCTTTCAAAAAACTAATTTAACATGTGATCCCCACAATTGTCTTGCTCCAAAATCGGTATGCTTAACCAATTCACAGCCTCCTTCCACACCAATTTAATACGAGGACACAAGAAAAAGAAAAATATGATCATTATGTTCATCCATTTGAAAACAACAAACACAAACCTTCTCATGACTATTAGTGATTACCCATCTATTCGCCAAGTTAATACGCATTAGAGACCTATTTAATAACAAACGTCAACCGAATATCTTCACTTTCAATGGCACACACAAACCTTCTCATAACTATTAGTGATTACTCATCTATTCTCCAAGTTAATACGCGTTGAAAACCTATTTAATAACAAACGTCAACCGAATATCTTCACTTTCAATGACACATTCGTTTGCCATAAGATATCCAAAGCTAACAAAGTGTTTGTGTCAATATCTTGTTAATTACCTTGCTGCAACAGAATGGCATAGTAGGATTTTATCGTGAAGATTTTCGTCCTTCGTCTAGACAGCAGTATTTACTGCATCATGAACCAGCTGCACGTCTTCCAACAATATCTTGTTTATGTTTATGTTTCATATCTCTCTTTTATTTTTATGCTCCATTATTATCCTCTCATATTATATTTTTGTTTATGTTTATGTCAATTTTCTTTTGTCCACTTGAACCATATCTTGTTCAAAACACTAATAAAAAATTAAACCTCTAAAACACTTGGTGCTCTTAATTTTGTGGTTATCCTCTTGGGTAGTTCTTAGACCTCGAACCTCTTGGATCATTCTTGAACCCTTGGACTTAGAATTAGGTATCTTTCCCCTATGCTTGGAGTTTTACGGATCTTTGCCTTTATTTGACTTGCTCATTAGCTTATGCTTCAAATCAGATGGAATTCTTATTTCGCTAACTATGAAGTATGCTACAATTTGGTTAGATCTTTCTTATCTCTAGCTTCTATTTTGCTTTTTAGGATAGTCACTTCATCTTCTCCCCTTCTTAAATTTTCAAAATCTTCTCCCTCTTTCAAAAACCTTCTTGCTTTCAAACCTAAAATCGCTTTCACAATAAAACTTTGACTTTTGTCAAGTGATTTTCAAGTTTTATTTTCTTTAATAAATGTCAATCAATGTTAATCATACTTTAATCAATTTCAAAAAGATATAAAAAATACTTCACCTCATCAAACTCTTTGTGTCTTTGTGCACTTTTTATTTTAAAACTTTTCATAAAGTTTAGACATGAGTCATTTCCATAGTTGAGATATAATTCTCCTATTCCCCATAGTATTTAAGACGTTGACATTTTCCACTTGGATGTTGAGTGATAGACTTATTGATTTTAATTCAAGAAAAATCCTTCATCTTTATGTGATGCAAATGTTGTCTTATACTTGTGGGCGAATAGTCGTAGTTTTCTCCTTAAAATGACGACTTGTCTTTACATTTAAAATCAATCAAAATAAACAAACTTTTTTATTTGTACCATAAACTACGAGATTTTGATCCTATATTGCACTTTGTGAGTACGTAGGCATCAGGAGATAAGTCTCTTCAAACACAAAAATCTTAAAAAATAATTCTATATTGCACTTTGATCCTATATTGCACTTTGTGGGTATGTAAGCATAAGAAGATAAGTCTCTCCAAACACAAAAATCTTAAAAAAATAATTCTCTTCTCATCTCCCTAATCTTCTATCAAACAAATATTTTCAAACCAAAAAGCGTACATATTTCAAAGGACTCCTATAGAGTAAAATAGATGTTTTAGGTGTTAACACATTTCCATTGCATAACCAACCCCCTTACCCAGACTCTGTTTTGTTTGTTCTTGTTTTAGAACTTGTTTAGGTTTTGTTCGCTCTTTTTCTTTTCTTTTGGATAAAATAAAAGTGTGGTGGCGACTCTTGTATTTTGAGTTAAGTTAATCAATAGCTTACACTCACAAATTTTCCCGCTACACCTTGATACAAAGAATTACGACAAATGGTGCAAGCAAATGAAAGTTTCGTTTGGCTACCAAGATGTTCTTGAAGTGATCAAGAATGGGGTGAATCCTCTTATTGAAGGTGCAACGGATGCATAACGAGCAACACATAAGGAAGATAAGAAGAAAGATTTCAAGGTACTATTTTTTATCCATCAATGTGTGGATTGTGACAACTTTGAGAAATTTGGTGATTGTGAGCCGTCAAAGCAAGCGTGGAAAATCTTAAAGAAAGTATACGCAGTGGCTGACAAGGCGAAGAAAAGAGACGATCAAAGATTTCATAACAAGGATCACTTTATTAGTGAATCAAGTGAAGGCATGTGGAGAAACAGTCACAGAACAATATGTTGTCGCGGAAATCTTGTGTTCTTTAATACTAAGATTTGATAATGTGCTTGTAACAATTGAGGAATCAAAGGATCTTGCCACGATGAACAAAGAGGGGTTGCAAAGTTCTCTTGAGGCTCATGAGCAAAGGATGGAGGAGAGAAATAATGATAAGGTAAAGACGGAGATCGCTTTGCAAACGCACTTTAACGAGAAGGATAAGTGATCAAAAGGAAAATAGATCATTAAGAGTATAGAGAATTTTCAAAATTTTGGTGGAAATGAGTCCTAAAATTTCAATCTTTGGTAAAATTGAGTAACTCGCAGGATCAACCATACTAAATCCTAGGACATGTGCTAAATTTGAAAGAAAAATCTAATCTGAACTCCACGTTCGACTATGAGATCTTTGTAAAGTAAAAATAACTTGAAGATAAATGGCAAGATATAAAAGCAAGAATGTAATGCGTCGAAAGTTAGAGACAATAATGTAAATGACTTTGAAATTAAAGGCAATAATGTAAATGTGCAGGAAAGTAAATGCAACAATGTAAATGGCTTTGAATTTAAAAGCAGTAATGTAAATGTGCAGGAAAGTAAATGCAACAATGTAAATGGCTTTGAATTTAAAAGCAATAATGTAAATATGCAGGAAAGTAAATGCAACAATGTAAATGGCTTTGAAATTAAAGGCAGCAATGTAAAAAGTGCAATAATGTAAATGACTTTGAAAGTAAAGGAAACAATGTAAATGTCGAAAGCAATTAGAAGACTTTGAAAATAACAAGTTTAAAAGACAGTGCAGAAGGTTAAAGTGCGGGTTAAGATAAAGTGCAGAAGGTTAAAATTGCATGAAGTGTAAATGAAGATAAAGTTCCAGAAAAAGCATGAAAAAACAGTTTAAACAACATCATACAAATGGTAAAGACATGTAAGTTGCATGAATGAAAGGGAATGGTGTTGTATCACGTACATTCTCGCTAACTCGTTTCTCTGCACGCGAGTACTTTGAGTAATTTGGAGTAACTTGTACAAAACGAATGAACACCCCTTATTCAATGGAAATAACTTCTATTTATACTGCTAGCAAATAATTACTACGTGACGGTTGTGGCTTCAAAACGTTTCCTTTGGCGCTTTTTCCTCAACTTCAACCGTTCCCACGTTCGCCCATTACTAATTCAAAATTCAAATGTTAAGAATTCCTTTCAGCCTTTAATTGTAACTGCCACGCGTTTCTTCTAGCATGATCCTGGTCGAAGGCCTTTCCAACACTTAGCATTTTTCTGGAATTTTCCCAAACCTCTCTTCGACTCAGGCTTTACCAAAGCTGGGTTGAAGCCTTCTTATGTTTTAAAAAGAACGTTGTGACTTAAGATACTTCTGATTTGCTAGCGTCGAAAATGAGAGCTAATACACCCATGATCCAGAGAGTGTACAGAAGTGGCTTAAGGTGATTGAAAATATATTTCGAGTGATGGCATGTACTGACGCTTAACAGGTATAGTTTGGTACTCATATGTTGTCAGAAGAGGCTGAAGGTTGGTGGGATAACACGCGTCAGAGGTTGGAGGATATTGGTACTGAGATAACTTGGGATGTATTCAAGAGAGAATTTTTGGGAAAGTCTTTTCCTGAAGATGTTCGCGGAAAGAAAAAGGTGGAATTCCTTGAATTGAAGCAGGGAAACATGATTGTGGCAGAGTATGCTGCATAATTCGAGGCGCTGGTAAAGTTTTGTCCACATTACAACCGTGTTGATGCTGAGATGTCTAAATGTCTCAAGTTTAAGAATGGGCTGAGACCAGAAATCAAGCAGGGTATTGGATACCAACAGATTCCCAGGTATGTTGAGCTGGTGGATAAGAGTAGGATCTACGATGAGGACAGTCGAGCTCGATTTTCTCACTACGAGCATCTTAGTGAGAAGAAAGAAAAGGGACAGTTTAGAGGAAAGCCGTATGCGACTCCAGCTGACAAAGAGAAACAAAAAGTTTCAGATGGGAAAAAGACACCTGAAGGAGAAGCTTCCGCTTATGTCAAGTGTTACAAGTGTGGCGAGCAAGGACACCATGCTTAAGTTTGCAACAATAGTGCGTTAAGGTGTTACATATGTGGTAAGAGGGGCCATAGGGTTACTAATTTCAAGAATGAAGGTCTGACTTATTTCAACTG